GGAAGTGGCACCCATTTGGGATGCTGAAATTGCTTCATTTACTATTCCAGCCCCAATTATAGTTACTAACGCCTGTTGGAGCTTTCTCAGTGCCCAGCATTTTTTCTGAGTGCTTTAACAGGACTCTGACAGCTACAAGCAGTGGATTTTTCATCCCCAGTTTTGGATGAGAAAACGGACACTCTGATCTTTTTGACTGTGCTGACCCACAGTGAAGCCAAGCAAAGTTGTGGTGCCAGCCAACCTGGCTCTTCAAGGCCTGCTTGGGTACTTGCTCCCCTGCCCCTCCTGCGACTTGCCCGGGGAAGAAAATGAATCCAGGAACACAATACACACAATGGCATGGCTGGTGCGCATTGCTCCTGGAGCACTCCATCTGCCTCAGCTCAGTTGTCCTGGCCACTTCTGAACAGACAGTATGACACGTGCAGCATGCCCCCTCCCACCTGCTCCCATTGGGAATCTTCTAGTGGGAGTTCAGTGGTTTAGCTTCCCAGAGGCAGTTTAATGTTTACTTATTCCAGATCTCAGACTGGTCAGCTTCTCACAACTGTCTCTACATCTCACTTATTGTTCTTTCTCTCTCTCCCCTTTTCCCAGCTATGCAAAGATGCAGATTCCTAGGTCAGGCCTCTCACGGGGACTGCCTTGTTCCCCAGTTGATTCTTGTGTCCTGCTAATAAGCTGTAAAGAATTTTTTTTTAAAGTTTTATCTATTTATTTGAGAAGCAGAACTACACAGAGAGGAAGGGAGTTAGATACCTTCCATCTCCCAGTTCACTCCTAATTGGCTGCAACACTGAGGGCTGGGCCAGACCAAAGTCAGAAGCCAGGAGCTTCATCAGGTTCTCCCATGTGAACACTTGGACCACCTTAGGGTGCTATCCCAGGCACATTTGCAGAGAGCTGGGACTTGAACAGGTACCCATATATGGGGGTTTTACTTCAGAATGCTGCAACATTGACCCCAAAGTCTTTCACTTAATAACTTAATTGTTAGAGCAGTACTGTCTGGTCTCTGCCAGAGGTTGTCATCTTTGTTTCTCTGTCTCATCCCATTTGTGATATAGTGCTTTCTGGTGACCTGCTTGGATTCCATAAGCCATTCTGTGCCTTGCAGTGCCGCAGAGCCCCCGGTGCCTGCAGTCCTCTTCCCTAGGCCTGCTATGCTACCCTGGTTCTCAACACCCTTCTGTGTCCGGGCTGGCCTTACTGGCTGACCCTACAGGAGCTCTGGAGTAAGCCGTGCTTTATTCTCTGCTACAGGACTCCCTGCCGGAGAAGCTGGCCGTGCACGAGAAGAATGTCCGAGAGTTTGATGCCTTTGTGGAAACCCTGCAGTAAAAGTGTCCGTAGTGACCCGTGGCATCCCTTGCTGTGGTCCTAGGGAAGGCGAGCCCCTCAGCCATCAGCTGCTCCAGTCCCTCCTTCCGCCCCATAGGAACCCACAAGTTCCTGCCCTTGGACCCTGGAGGCTCCATGGCAACCATCAAAGGCAGGAGCTGTGATTGAAAGGACTCAGGCTTTGGCCTTAGAGACTGACAGCCCCTTTGTCACAGGAGGGCCCAAGGCTTGCAGCAGGGCCATCTATGGGCCCCATTGGCCTCCTGCTGCCAGCCTCCTATCTGGGGGTGCCCTTGCCCTGTGACATTCCTGCAAGGGCCCTTGAGCCTGGAACCAGGCTGTGGGAAGGAAGGAGTGGGTCCTCTAGGCCCTTGGTTGTCCCCTATAGCTGTAGGAGCCCTCCTGTTTCTCTCTCGTCCTCTCTGCCCCTGTGCCTGGCCCACTTGTGGGTGAATGTACAGGACTCCTACCTGCCCTCTATCCTCCCTACCCCTACATGAGGTGACAAGAACTCCAAAGCCATGCCGAACCCCGGAGGCTGTGCCCAGCGGCCCTGGTGGCTGCCTTGCCTGGCCCCGGGGGAAGGGGACTGTCTCTGGGAGCTACCATGCAGGCCCTCTTGCCCCCTCCCTGGTTGCTGCTCCTTGGTTATAGAACATGGTAAATATTTATTACATTCAGAGAGATCAGATATTTTATAGAGAAAATATGTTTGAGGTTGTTAGATGCTTTCACTCGGGGAAGTTGGAGGGCCTCTTTCTGGGCCGCAGGCATCTGCCTGTGGGTTCCTTCTCATTGGGCTGCTGCTGCACCCCATAGGACTGGCTGATGGCAGGGTAGTCCCCGGAGTGGCCACAGGCTTTCCTTCGGATACCTGCAAATTCCTGGCAGGAGCCTGAAATCACTCCTCCTTCGGGCAGCGCAGGAAGGCTCAGGTGCTAAACACACTGATTCCCCGGAGCTGCTCCCCATGCAGCACCCAGGAGGCATTGCGTGAGTGCCCTGCCGCTGGGTTCTGCACCCTGCTTCCAGGGGCTGGGCTGCGGGCTTGACCTCCTGCTTGGGTCTGGCCCTCCCTTTCATGGCAGGGTCTCTGCATGGCCCTGGCGTTTCCAAGCTGGGTTGATTCCTCATTGAGAAACCAAAGCTGGGCATGTGCTTGGCTTGTCCCTTCAGGTGTCAGTGCTTGAATAGGTCAAGTGCCTAGTCCTCCCCAACTGACCCCCCTGCCCCGATTCCCAGCCAGACAGGCAGCCTGAGCACAGTCCCTCCCATCTGGGTCTGGGCCACAGCAGCTGGGCTGCCTTGGAGCAGGGATTCTCTCCTGCCTGGGCGCAGGCCACAAGTGATGCCTCTCCCACCTGCCAGTCAGCCCCCTGAGGATTAGAGCCAGCTCTGGAGGACAGCCTTGTCCCCATGCATGCTTCACTGTCACAGACACACAGCGTTCCCAGCAGTGGTGGCCATCTGGGCCACAGCCCACCTTCATGGCCTGTTCAAGTCCTCCAAGGCAGCAATGCTGGAAAGGGGCTGGGGAGCAAGGGAACCCCCTCGGCTGCTGCCCTCTTTCCAGGCCTTGAATGGAAAGGCCTATTAGCCGTCATCCAGGACAGCCCTTTTTGACTCCACAATCGTCAGCCACTACCGACAGCAGCCTTTGTCCAGAATGCCATCTGTGAGGAAACTGGAGAGGCTGGCCCTTGCCGCTCAGCTCAGCATAGCAGAAAGGAGGAACCCCATACCCCCAACTCCTGCCCACCCGAGGACATGACATATGTCCCCAAGGTGTGGAGTCCTCTCCTCCAACTTAATGTATTTGGAAATACTGAGCTATACTTCAGAGCGCATTTAAGAGATTTCCAATAAATTTTTTTTCTGTATCTTACAGCCTCATGCTATCGCTGAATATTCAAATACAAGTCCTTGCCCTGGGAACATACAAAGAATCAAAGGCACTAAGGTCCCCTGAGCAGCCCAACCCTACTTGACCTAACAAGTTACTGTTTTCTTTCCCACGGATCCCAGCAGTGACCAAGACAGGTAGAGGCAGGGGAAGCATGGGGTGCTAGGTTTTGAGCCAGTAGTCCATTGTTCCCAGCTCTTTACTCTATATAGCACTACTTGGCCCTGGGGGTGGAGGAGGGGAGTGGTCACTGCCATGTCTCCAGCAGATGCGGTGGCAGGGAGAATGTTTGTGGCTGAGCAAGCCAGAGAGCAGCAGAGTTGCTGAGTCAAGCAGCAGGAAGTGAAGAACCCAAGCAAGTTTGAGCTGACAGCCCTAGCAGGGGCACCAGGCAGGCCTGAACATCAGGGTAGCCCTGCAGGAACCAGTCCTGTGGCCCCTGACAGCTGCAGTTGCAGATAGCTCGGCCTGTCACCTGGCTTGTGGCTGCTGTGGGGGTGGGCCGGTGATGGTGGAATGGCTGACATCTCAGGGGCAGAGATGGTTCCCAACCAGCCCACTCCTTCCAAAAAGGGACAGGAACCCTTGCTCATTAGCAGGCTATACACAACACTGACCATGATCACCAAGCAGCCAGCCAGTCACCATTCCTTGGGTCACACATAGTAAGGCTGTCCCTGGTGGCCCCATCCAAATGTACTATTTCTCTTTAAAGCAATTCCCCTGCTTCACCCCAGAGGCTGAGCCCGTGCGAAACTGGTTTTTTAGTTACTCAGAGGCCATCAGGAGCCCAACCCAAGGAAACAACTCCATCTGCCCCACCCCTCAGGTTTCTCTGGGTCACAGCCTCTCCCAAACAGGCTCAGCTTAGGGCCAGAGGAAAGGAGGCTGGCTACCAATGCCATCTGCCGGAAGCTCCCTGGGTGAGAGCTTCGGCTGTAATAACCTGGCTGCTGGAGCACAGCTTCAGTGCTCATACCGAGCACATTAGGAATGTTGTGCGGTCCTGAAGCTCAGGCCCGGCTCTCCCGGCAAGCGTGGGTGTGCCAAGCATCTGCACCATGAGCTTGAGGCCAGGCCAAGCGAGTCTGTCCTGCTCTCCCACAAACTACTTTTTAAACACTTGGGGTAAAATGCACAGGATGCAAAATTTACCATCTTAATCTTTAAAGCAAAGTGAAATGTTCCCCAGAGGAGAAAAATGGTTCTGCAGTGTCCATGTTACAGAGGAAACAGGTAGAATTGGCCTCCCTGGCTGGGGGCTCAAGGAGCCCAGCCTGGCAGGACTTGGCTCATGGTCCTGTGGTGGCCACCAAGCACTCACACTGTGAGGACTGTCCCTGTAGGAAGGAGCCCTGCTGGGAGGGAAAAGTTAGAACTGAAGCCCACGACATGACCACTGTCACCTAGGGCTGGGGAGGGAGGCAGGCTACCCACCTCAACATGACTGATGCCACTGCCCACTGTTGTCACTTGGTGTTCCTGCTCCGTGGCTTGACTTAGGTCACATCCTGGGTCCCTGCAGACTTGGGGTACTGTGGCATGTGGTGGCAGCCAGACACAACAGAGGTGACCGTGGTTATCTCAAGGCCTAGAACAGGCTCAGCTGAGTGGCCTCCAAAGTATGCCCCAATGGCCAAGATGAAGGCACAGGGACCCAGGAGGCGACTTCTTCCCAAGTTCCCATCTGTTCCTCCCTAGGCCCCCTCCACTTCCTGCTGGTCTCCAGCCTCACTTCTTTGACAAGCAGCTGTCCATCTCCATTTTTATTGAAATACAAAAAGTGCAAACGGTGAAATACATGATCGGTGCCAAGGAAGTCATTAAGTGTGAATGGTTAACACCTGATTCACAGTACAAGCACCCCCTAACCCCCACCCCCTGCCCCGCATACACCCAGGTTCAGGCCAGCCAGGCAGGGGCCAGGCCAGATACCACAGGGATCTAAAAGGCTCCCCAGAACATAGGGCTATGAGCAATGCTTTACACACAAAAGAGGCCAGAAAGCAGAGTGGTTTGGGTCCAGGCTAAAGACACGGGCTGAGGGAACCAGCCACAGCTCCGGGCCCTGGGTGTCCAGCTGTGTCAGTTTCCTGGACAGGGTGCCCAATGCAGTCAGGCCCAGGCTCAGCCCCTCCTGGCCGGCATAGGGCACTGAGCAGGTTCCTGAGCTTCCTCACAGCTCAGGGTGTGGAGCGGCTGGCCAAGGTGGGGAAGGAGGTAGGGGCAGGGTGGGCAGTGACTACAGATGCACCCCAGCCACCTGGGAACAAAGTGGCAGGAGGGAGCCACCCCGGGTTCCCCACAGGAGTGTCATGGAAAGGAACACAGCTGGAATAAGGAACATAAACCCCAGCAGTGGGGTCCAGGTTTCAGAAAGAGACCAGGGACCTGCAATCAAAACCTACCTGCCAAGGGGCTCTCAGCTGGGAGCAAACTCTTGGTCCCTCCGGCAGGCAGCCTGGGCCTCCTCTCCAGCTGGAGGCAGGAATCCCAGCAGCCCCGGAGGCACTAAATCACCTCTGGCCAGAGCAGGAAGCCCAAGGCTGAGCTTGTGGGAGAGGAGGTGAAGCGGGAGGGTGTCTGCCTGTTGCTGAGCCCACCAGCCACGAGTCTGTTGCCAATGGATGCTGGGACTCTGGGCCCTTTCATCCAAGCTGCCTGTCCTGGCAGGACCAAGGGACAAGGAGCCCCAGGGGCAGCACCATTCAGGAAAGGCCACCCCAGTTCCTGGAGAAAGAGGAGCAATAGGCAAGGACTCTAGCCCTGGCACCCTTGCCTAACTATCCTTCCATTGGAAGCCCAGCCTTTAGCGGGATCACTGATGTGGGTGCTCGTATCCAAGGTAACACACAGCAGATCCCAAAAAGCTGGACGTGGAGGCGCCTCGGCATGCCCAAGCCAGGTCAGAGGACTCGGCCATGGCTGGAAGATGAGGGAAGAAAGGACCACCCCTGCCCCCAGCCCAGCTGGCAGTGACTCTGGCTAGCCATGGTTGTCAGGACCACATAGGCAGGAGAAAGCAGGAAAAGGGGTCCCTGGGCTCAGCCAGAAGAACCGAGCCCAACTCTAGGAAGCCTGGCAGGAGCCAGGCACCCAGACAGGCAGTGAGAGATATAAGGCGAAGAGGACTGTCCCAGAATAATAGCAAGGCCTCCGGGGCCAGCACAGGGGGCCTGAATGGGGTGAACCACCACTGTGCCTGGGCCCAGACCCCATCTCCCAGGGTCTTTGCGGTCTCTGCTGGGCAGAGGCCTGGGCTGATGCCTCAAGAATGAGTCCCAAGTGGTAGAGGGAAAACAGAGCAAGGGGGCGGCTGGGGCAGGAGTGGAGCTCACACCCCTCTGGCGTCAGAGCTAGGGAACAGCTCAGCCTGATGGTCCAAGAGGAACTTGGTGAAAGTGTTGATGGGGTTGATGGCCTTGAGGGTGATGGCAGCATCCTTGGCCCACAGCAGGTTGGGGCCGAAGACGACGGCCAGGTTGGTGTTGGTCATCTTGTTCTGGTCACAGTGGGCGGAGACCTGCAGAGGGAAGCTGGGCTGAGTGGACAAATCCAATGCATGTGTATGAGTTTCTGTGTGTATATGGTGTGTGTGTGTGCATGCGCACTGCAGGAAAAGGCCACACACTTGGTCTCCTGCCAACAATTGGCAGTACGGAGCCTCTCCCAGCTCCCAGTGAGCAGCAGGGGCCAAAACTTGTGAGGCATCACCTGCACTAGGAAGGCCGTCAGGAAGCAGAGCACCCGGAAGTTCTCCTCGGGCAGCGTGTGGAGGACCTGCTGCGTCACCTCCACTCTCTGGCTCTCCTCAATGCCTGCAATGGACGAGAGCCTGGGTTACAGGGGTGCCTGGTACAGAGGCCCTGACACGAGTTCCAGGGGGACACCAGCCAGACTTTTCCCTTAGAGGGTGGGGTGGGAGGACAAGTGGCCAAACATACCTGTCCCGAGTCCCACCCCCAAGACCTGGCTGAAGCAGTGGGCAGGAACACTCACTAAGAAAGCCCACCACGTGGGGGTAGAGGTCGAATGTGAGCAGCGGCTCAGGCAACTCCCGAAGGAAGGTCTTGAGGATGACTGCCGGCAGGTGTAGCTCATTGTACTGGTCAAAGTCCACAGGCAGCCCTGGGGGAGGGGGAGAGGCAGTTGGCTTGGCTCCAGGAGAAGGCTCCACTGCTCCACTTTCTTCAGCCAGGGCATAGTGAGCCTTCCGCCTCCTGCCTCTCCTCTTTTTCAAGGACCAGGGGACACCCTTCAGGCCATGCGCGTAGAGTAGACACCCGGGCTCACACTGTAAGTACCTCCACCGCCTCTGCATGGATCAAGATCCAATGCAGCCAGGCAAGAATGGGATGGCACCTACAGAGCGAAGCCAAAAAATGCCACCAAAACCCAGGCCCAGTGAAAAAATCTGGGACCCTTGTTCATGGGGCAACAGAAGGCAGAGAGGGCCTGGAGCAGTCCTGCCACCGACTCACCCATGTTGTACTTCTGCTGCACTTCCCGCACAATCTGCGTGTTAGCCGACCTCCGGAAGATGCCCTCTGTGGTGAGAGCTGGCGGACAGTGTGGTTTGATGAGACTAGGTGCTCTGGCCCAGGGGCAGAGGTGGGGTGGGGCGAGGTTGGACAGCAGCAGCCTGGGCTGGGTGGGTGCACTCACCATGGGCCTGCAGGTAGGCGACTGTCTCCCGGAGGACAATGGGGATGGGCTGCTGGTCTGGGCTCTTCTCCTGGAGGCTGCGGGAGTGGGTGTGGTGAGTGGGTGGGGAGGGGGCTGGGGCCCCGCCCATCCTGCAGGCAGCCAGGGCCTCCGCCCCCATACTCACTGCTGTAGTGAGACCCCAAACTGTTGGTTGGGTAGGGGTGGCCGTGGTGGCATGGGCTTGGGCGCTGTGGCAGGGCTCTTCTGTGTGGACTTCAGAAAGTCATCGTACCTAGGCGTTGGAGGGGAGGGGAGTCAGACCTCCTGGCCGGCTGGATCATGGCTGAGCCCAGTGTGTGGGCCTCCACTTAGGTGTCTCACAAAAACCATTCCCTTCAATCCTCTAACAGTCCTAGCAGTCAGCACTGGAGACAATAATGACTTTAAAGACTGGTTGGGCAACTTGCAAATGGCAGAGGTTATCCTTGCGTTGTTTACTTAGTAAGAGAGCCCCCAAATGCCGTTTTTCCCCTAGCTCACACCCCTGTGTTGGCTGCAACGGCTGGGATGGGTCCAGGATGAAGACAGGAACCAAAAACCCAACACGGTCTTCACTGTGGCTGGGCCCCAATCACTTCAGCCATCACTGTCTCCCAGCGTCTGTGACAGCAGGAAGCCGGAAGTAGCAGAACCCAGAGGCAGGAATCGAACCCAGGCAGTGTAGGGACCAGGGTATCTTAACTGGCCAGGCTCAGTGCCTGCCTGTAGGAATGGGAGTAAGCTTGCTCTGCCTGGCCCATCTGCCACTCCCTTCATCTGCTGTCCCTCCCAGGCCTCCCCATTGACCTGATCCGCCCCTCCCCTTAGTCCCTCCAGCCCTCCCCGTCCTGTCCCTCCCACCCCCACGCACTTGAGCACTTGACGAGGGATCCCCAACTGCTCCAGCTTCACGTGCTCACTCAGCTCACTCAGGTAATTCACGTAGAAGATCTTACGCCCAAACTTGAAGCTGTGAGAGAGGCAAGGGCCAGGGTCAGGGGTGGGCCGCTCCAACAGCTCTCCCTAGCAGTCACGTGTCCTCTCACAAAGAGCCCTACACCCATACTGTCCGTCCCCAGGGGCCTGCACTGAGCCTGCTCACCTAATGAGGGGTTTGAAGAGGATGAGGAGGGTTTTGATGAACATGGTCGGATGCACAATGTACAGGGCCTTGATATTCTTCTTGTACCTGTGGTGGCAGAGCAAGGAACTGAGAAGTGTGTTGGGGAGGGCTGGAAAGACACAAGAGAGTGAGGGAGAGAGAAAAAAATCTTCCCTCTGCTGGTTCATTTCCTTAAATGGCCACAACACCTAGGGCTGGACCAGGCTGAAGCTGGGAAGCCTGGAACTCCATCCGGGTCTTCCATCTGTGTGGCAGGAGACCAAGTACTTGAACTGTCACCTGCTGCCCACTGGGATGTGCATCAGCAGGCAGCAGGATGAGCCACAAGCCAGCATGGAATGTGGGCCTCCCAAGCAGCGGCATGGCCACTGTGCCACTGCGTCTGCTCCAAGGAGAGCTCAGTGAATACTTTCTGATTTGACTCCTGCTGGCAAGCGTGAGAGGTAGGCACCACAGCCGCCCCCTTTCATAGAACAGAAAAATCAAAGGATCAAAGAGGTTAAGGTACAGGCAGTTTCAGAGTGAGTAAGCAGAGAAGCTGGGATGTAGGCCTCTGCGTTCTGACTTCAGATTCTTGTCGTCTGCTTACCCAGGTGGGGAAACTGCCTCCCCACTGGCACAAAGCTCCTGCCCAAGCAGGGGGCAGCCCACCCACCAGCAGAGCCACCTGCCCCCCGCCCCCCGGAGCCCTCCCCCAACACACTTGCGGTCAAACTCCCGGTAAGCATCACGCAGCCAGCTGAGAGAGGGCTTGTTGTCACTTGTCAGGCCATGGTGCAGGTAAAGCAGAGTGTAGTCGCTCTCCACATACTGGTCCAGGGTGTGCTTCAGGTACCTTTGGAAGCAAAGATGCTACTCAGGCAGCTCTGTATATCAGGGACACAGACCCCACATCCTAGAGCCTCCTTGTCGTCTCCTGCCCTCCCCTCAGAAGCTGTCCATTCTGGCTGCCTATCGGTCATGGCCATGTCCCTGTGCACGAGACACAGGGTGGTAGCTGGGATAAGGGCAGCAATATCAGTATCAACAACAATTATGATCTCTCCCATCTTGGGGCAGTGACTGGCAGGTGGGAGACCAGAATGGAGGCTGACCTTACCCCCAGCTGAGAAATAATGGCACTAGAGGACTGGTGCAATGGCTCAACTAGCCAGTCCTCTGCTTGAAAGTGCCATCATTCCATACAGATGCTGTCCTGTGTCCTAGCTGCTCCACTTCCCATCCAGCTCTCTGCTTGTGGCCTGGAAAAGCAGTAGAGGATGGTCAAAAGCCTTGGGACCTTATGCCCACGTGGGAGACCTGGAAGAAGCTCCTGGTTCCTAGCTCTGGATTGGCTCAGCTCCAGCCACTGCAATCATTTGGGGATTGAACCAGTAGATGGAAGATTGTTCTGTCTCTTCTCTCTGTAAATCTGCCTTTCCAATAAAAATAAATAAATTTAAAAAGAAGAAAAGAAACGAGGGCACTAAGCAGAGGTAAATGCCAGCACCTGGACCTTCAGGATCCACCCCTCAGACAGCTGTCTTTTGTGCATGAACTCCAATCCAGGCTGTATGGCACTGTGCGCACAGGAGGAGGATGGCACCAGAAGGACACATGCTCCAGTCACTGGTTTTTTAAAAACGCTCTCCTCTTTGGAAAGGAAGAGAGACTGAAACCGATCAGATGAAATCATCAGCTGGTTCACTCCCCAGATGCACAACCAGGCAGAGCTAAGTGGGATCAGAGGCAGGAACTCAGGACTGAAACCAGGCTTCTCTCTTTTGCAGCAGTCAGGAACCCAAGGACTTGAGCCAGCACAAGCGGCCTTCCAGGGTGGGCACTGGCAGGAAGCTAGGAACAAGGAGGAGCCAGGACAGAGACCTGGTGCAGGATGTGGGACATGAGCATCTTCAGGGATGTTTTCACCACTGAGCCAGCTGCACCCTATCATTGGGCTTTTTGGGAACATAGAGTCCCTTCTGCTCAAGTTCCCTAAAACATACAGCATGGTAGGCCACTATCTTTCTGTCGCCAACACAAGCAGGCACTCTGCTGAGTGCATGTGAAGAACTTGGGCTCCAACAGGAACACTTGTCCTGTCCTTCAACCTGGCAAGCAACTTCTGAGGGGAGGAAGGGGGTGGAAAGAACAAGGAACAATCCCAAGAATTCAACCTAGTGCCTGGATGTGACCTGACGCAGCCCAGAGAGGGTCACAGTACAGCTAACGGAGGCTGGAGGCTTCCAGATTCTGACAGTTATTCACTACACTACCGTTTGTCCCTCACATGCATCTACCACCTTGCAGGTTAAAGAGCTGTCACTTGAGCAGGTGCACATTGGAACTTGGGAAACAGAGAAGGTTCTGGAGAAAACCGATGCCACCATCCATCCATGGAGGCTGCAACCTTTGAGACAGCACTGAAGTGCCACTTATGAGAAGCAATAAAGGGTCCTACTCTTTGAACCTGAAAAAATATGAGGGTTCTGTTTGAAAGTATTTGTGGAAAAAGACACGACAAGAACAGCTTTTTTTGGTACAAAAAATTGTGAGGTGCCAGTCTGGCACAGCACATTACACTACTGCTTGCAACACTGACATCCCACAGGAGCACCAGTTCAAGTCCCAGCTGTCCTGCTTCTGACCCAGCTCTCCATTTCCCTCTGGGAAGGCAGTGGAAGATGGTTCAATGGTTGTCACCCACATGGGAAAACCAGATGGAGTTCTAGGCTCCCGGTTTTGACCTTGCCCAGACCCAGCTGGCCACCGTGGCTATCTGGGGAGCGAGCCAGAGGATGAAAGATCTCTGTCCCCACCTCTTCCTCTCTCTGCATAAATCTTTTGGTTCAAATCCTGGCTCTGCACCCAGTTTCAGCACCTTGCTAGTATGCATTCTGAATTCTGCAGCGACTCAAGCCTTTGGGTCCCTCCCACCCACGGTGGACACCCAGCTGGGGCTCTAGGGTCCTGCCTTCATTCACCCCAAGCCCAGCTGTTCCACACACTTTAGAAATGGGTCAGTGACTGGGAGTTCTCTGTCTCTCTGCTTTTCAAAATAATTTTTTTTAATTCATAGAAAATGCATTATATATATTAGAAAATGCATTATTTACATATAATATATATAGTATATTATAATATATAACAATAGGGTGCCTTCTTAGCGCAGTAGGTAGCGCGTCAGTCTCATCATAATATATAACAATACATAATATTATATATATATAAACTACACAAAGGTTTCCAATTTTTTTGCTCCAAAATATCTTGTAGTTCCATTCCTCTATGAACTCTCCAAAAGGCTCTCAAATAGCCAGGAATTTATCCTAAGGAAACAGCCAGAGATGAACAGAAACATTTTTGCAAAACATGACTCATCCCAGACTGTTTTATGATGGGGGGCAGGGTTAAAAAAGCTCTAAGCAGCACGCTAGCTGCCCAACATCAAGGAATTCGGAGAAGAAATCATGGGACATCTATAAATAGAAGCCCTCCAGGATGTTTCTGCAGACAGAGCTAATGCGCGAAGTCAGGTGGCGGAGCTAGGGTCACCCCGGGGCTGGTGTGTGGTGTGGGCAAGATGGGGTGGAGGCGGTGGCCAACCCATCACCTGGCATCCTTCCGTGCTGGTCTCTCTGCATGCATATCCCAAGTCAATAAAATGCTTTTTAAAGGATGCCTTTGAAGAGTGCCCAAGGCACAGATAATAAAATCGTTACATAAGGTGGCACACTGACGCTGGAGCCCCACATATGGCATGGAGAAAAATAGGGAATGCATACACTGAAATGTGAACAGAGCTTTTCTCTCCTGGTGGAGAAGACTTTGTTACACAGTTGTCTACACTTCCTCTCTCCATTGCTACCTACACTTCCCGAAGCTCTTCTAACTGTAATACTTTAACTCCAAGCACATGGCCCTCTGGTGGCCCATCTTACTGCTACAAGCCTGGGAGGGTCACAGCTGGCACCTGCCCTGGCATTCACCTCACAGGCAGCCGGAGACAGGGTTGAAGCTTGGCCAGCATCTGATGTCGAGCTTTGGGCACTTTCTGTGTCACACACTGACCCCTACCACCACCCTGGGAAAAGCCACATCTAGGCTTGTGTGACTGAAAACAGGACCCACGGACTCACTAGGGCAGAGCCTCGCTTCTCTGGCAGGATGACCACCAAGAGGAGGTGCTGGCCGGTCAGGGGTATCCCATCACCCCCATCCTCTGTCCCCCATGCACACTCTCACTGGGCCAGGAGCCTCTTACTTGTCCAGTCTGGAAGATGCTATGAGTTTCCCAGAACAGGAGGATGTGACCCAGTCACCTGTAGGCTGGCTCCCTGGCCTGCTGCTGGCTGTGTCAGGGGAAGGACCTGGCCAAGGCCCTGCCTGTCTCGCCTGAGGAGCAGGAGGAAAGGTCAGGAGGCCAGAGGAGCTCAGTTTCCCGGCAAGACTGGAAAGACTGGTGGCTCACTAGGGGTGGCTCTGACTCCAAGCACGAATCTCCTCCCCTCCTGCAGAAAACAGTCCCTCCCCCACCCCCAAATCCTTCACCAACATTGAGGACCCCAAAGGGCTGCTATAGGCAGTGCAAGAATGGTGCCATTGAGAGAATGCTTTGAAGTAGTCAGGGACGAAGTGTGAGCCAGGTACACCCAGAAGGAACAGGAGAAAATGGATACCACTCTGCCTTGGGGGTCCCCACTGTGGCCCCGGGAATGCCATCAATACTAAGTGGTTACTGGAATAGTGTGTGCAGAACATAATCACACCAGATGTCTGCCCCAACTAAGACTACAACGAGGAGCATCTACATTTGTGAATATTTCACATTCTCTTGTGTTTCTCCATTGTATTCAAAAGGCAGAGGGACAGCAACAGGGAGACAAACAGACACACGACAGATTCCCCATGTGCTAGTTCACTTCCCAAATGCCTGCAACTGTTGGGGTGGGGCCAGGCCGAAGCCGCTTGGAGCCAGGTACTCAATCCAAGCCCCATGTGGGTGGCAGGGACCCGAGTCCTTGAGCCACCACCTGCTGCCTCCCAGGTCCACACTGTAGGAAGCTAGACTCAGAAATGCGTTGGCACCCAACCCCAGGCACTCTGACAGGGCATATAGGGGTATGTTTCAAGCAGTCCCTACACCCTTATGCCAAATGCCCAATCCCCTTCTTAAAAAAGTTTTACTGGAACCAGCACTGTAGCATAATGGTAACAATGCAGCCTGCAGTGTTGGCATTCTATATGGGTACTGGTTCAAGTCCCAGCTGTTCCATTTCCAATCCAACTCCCTGCTAAAGGCCTGGGCAAGCAGCAGCAGATGAACCAAGTGCTGAGGCTCCTGCACCCACACTGCAGACCTGGAAGAAGCTCTTGGCTTCAGCTCCAGCCATTGCAGCCATCTGGGGAAATGAACCAATGAACAGAAGTATCATTCTCAGGCCTGGCGCAGTGGCCTAGCGGCTAAAATCCTCGCCTTGAACACACCGGGATCCCATATAGTCTCTGGTTCTAATCCCAGCAGCTCCACTTCCCATCCAGCTCCCTGCTTGTGGCCTGGGAAAGCAGTTAAGAATGGCCCAAAGCCTTGGGACCCTGCACCTGTGTGGCAGACCTGGAGGAAGTTCCAGGCTCCTGGCTTCAGATTGGTGCAGCACCGGCTGTTGCGGTCACCTGAGGAGTGAATCATCGGATGGAAAAATCTTTCTCTCTATCTCTCCTCTCTCTGTATATCTGACTTTGCAATAAAAATAAATAAATCTTAAAAAAACCAACTTTCTCCTCCTCCCACTCCTGTCTCTGTAACTCTGTCTTTCAAATATATAAACAAATCTTATTTATTTAGCTGAAAGGCAGAAAGAGACAGCACATTGTTTTTTTTTAAGACTTATTTATTTTACTTAAAGCCAGAATTAGAGAGAGAGCGAAGAAGAGATATCTTCCATCTGGTGGATCACTCCCTGCATGGCTGCTAAGGCCAGAGCTGGGTCAGTCTTAAGCTGGGAGCCAGGAACCCATTCCAGGTCTCCCACATGGCTACAAGGGCAAAACACCTTGGGCCCTCCTCTGCTACTTTCCCAGGCAATAAGCAGGAAACTGGATGGGAAGAAGAGCAGCTGGGACTTGAACCAGTACTAAGTGAGGACACAATTGTTACAAGTGAAGAATCGGTCTGCTACAATAGCAGCCACAAGAGCACATGAGTTTTTACATCATCTTTCCATGAGCTTTAAGGACCATTGTATTTGGCTTTACAACCCATACATAGAAATCATCAGCAATGAACGTGGCACAATAGAAAATGGCACTAAGTATTCACTGAAATGAGAGACAACTGCAAGCACCTCCAATGTATCACCTAATTCTCACAGCCAGACCTCCCACCTGGACGGCATTGAACTTAAAGCACAGCCACGTGCAGTGACTCAGTCTCTAAGGAAGGAGGGTTGTATTATCACCTCTTCTGGAAAGGTGAGGCAAACCAGGCTAGAGAGACTTGTCAAGGCCACATAACCAGCTCCCTGGGCCAGACACTGGGCCTGCCCCTTGTCCAGCCTTCTGTTGATAAACCACAGCTCCCTCAGGGAAAGTGGGGAGGCACAGAAAGGGGTGGCCTGGTCCCCCAGGCAAGAGAGGGACAGCAAGGACTGTGGCATTAGGCAATTCTGGGATTCAAGGGGCAGGTCCCCCATCTTTCCCCAGGGCACTCACCCCAGGAGCTTGCTGTGGTCCAGCTGGTGGCTGGGGGGCATCCGACAGGCACTGAACACAATGATCTTCCGCCCGTACTTGTCATCTCCTGTAAAGAGAAGAAAACGGGGCAGCGTGGGTGGACAATGAAGCCGAAGCAGGGTAAGGAACTTAGGGGGTGCCAGCCTGTGGGGAGCTGGACCCGCTGCTGCAGGGCCCCAGTGGCCCAGGCAGGAAGCACACTTCTGGGTAGCCCTGCTACTGAACCGAGAGGACTTGGCTGCTGTCAGAGCTGCTGAGCTGCAATGTAAAAATGAAGTATAATATCTGGCAGAAATGACCCAAATGTCCGCTGTTGGGTGAAGGGCTGGCGTAAATGTGGCATACCCATGCAATGGGCGGGGTGGGGTACTGCTCGGCCACACAGAAAGGGGGTGCAGCACGGACACACACTGACAACACCAATGAGCCTCAAAAACACAATGCGAAGTGACAACAGCTAGACATAAAAAGGCCACCTACTACATGATCCTACTGACACCAGCCATCTACAACAGGTTCGTCCACAGGGACAGAAAGCAAATGAATGTTTTCCAGATGTTGGGAATAGGGACGAATGGAAACTGGCTGCTTAACGGTATGGGTGATGACAATGTCTTGGAATTACATTGGCTGCACAGCATGGTAATTATACCGTACCACTGACTTATCTATTTTACTTTTTTTTTTTAATTGGAAAGGCGGATATACAGAGAGGAGAGACAGAGAGGAAGATCTTCCATCCGATGATTCACTCCCCAAGTGAGCGCAACGGCCGATACTATGCCGATCCGAAGCCAGGAGCCTCTTCCGGGTCTCCCACGCGGGTGCAGGGTCCCAAAGTTTTGGGCCGTCCTCAACTGCTCTCCCCGGGCCACAGGCAGGGAGCTGGAAGGGAAGCGGGGCTGCCGGGATAGAACCGGCGCCCATATGGGATCCCGGGCGTGCAAGGCGAGGACCTTAACCACTGCGCCACCGTGCCAGGCCCCTCACTTATCTATTTTACAATGATAATCTTGGCTGGCCCAGCACTGTGGTATAGACCTTTCAGCCACGACTTACAATGCTGGCACCTCAGGTGGCTGCCAGCTTGAGTCCTGGCTGCTCTGCTTCCAATCCAGCTCCGTGCTGATGCAACTGGGAAAGCAGTAGAAGATGACCCAAGTGCTTACGCCCCTGCACTCACTTGGGAGACCAGGCCAATCTGAGCAAATGAATCACAGGATGAAAAATCACCCTCCATATCTTTCCCTCTCTGTAACTTTTTCAAATATATACACATTATGTGTGTGTGTGTGTGTGTGTGTGTATATATATAATTCTTGCTTAAAAATCTTTTTAATTCTTTATTCAAAAAGCACAGACAAGATGTTCCATACAGTGGAACCTAGAACTCCAACGACAAGCAGGGGAGATGCAGCCCACATGGGTGGCAGGGGTCCAAGTAATTGTACCATCCTCTGCTACTTTCCCAAGCTCACTAACAGGGAGCTGGATCGGAAGTGGAATAGCCAGGACTTAAACTGGCTACATTCACATGGGATGCCAACATCACAGGTGGTGGCTTAACATGATATGCCACAACTCCAACACCCCAAATGACGGTTTTGTTATATAACTTCTACCTCAATTTTTAAGTCATACTTATCACAGAACAGACATTGTCAAATAGTCATCTTAAAGGTCTACGTTTGGGGCAGGTGCTTGGCACAGCAGTTAAGATGTAGCTTGGAGCAATTGTAGCCTATATCAGAACACCCAGGTTCGAGTTTCACCTCTGCTCCCAATCCCAGTTCCCTAACCACTCCCTGGGAGGCAACAGGGGATAGTTCAAATGATTGGGTGCTGGCCACCATATGGAAGACCCAGATAGAGTTCTTGGATTGGGCAGTGAACCAGTACATGGAGATCTTGCTCTCAAATAAAACTTTTTAAGTCAACACTTATTCTGTAAGCAGCCTCTGGGCAGAGGGACTCAGCAAACCCTCGGTACCCCAGGGCCAGCCGTGGGATTCCTCTACCATCACGTCTCATTCCAAGCACATCATCTTGTCTGAAGACTAAATGACCACACTTGGCTCTGAGTCACCTCTAAACACTTCTAAAAGGCAGTCCTTTCTTCCTAGGGCTAGAGAACATGGATTTCAGAGGAGTTTGAAACACAGTGAAGAAACATTCCGACGTCAACTCAGGAATGTTGGCCCAGTTAGGAAGCGGGGAAGCTCCTTTCCCCTAAAGTAAGGTGTTCTTTCAGGGTTGGCCTGGACCAGGAAGCCCACACTGGGAGGTAGGGACTGAGGGCTAGACTGGCAGGCCCAGCCTCATGAATGAGTGCAGGGTCAGAGCAACCAGGACTCCTAATATGAGTGTAGGGAAGGGTTGGGGGGCAGGCGTGGGAGTACCATCTTCCTATTTCCTCCAAGCACAGAAAATGACCAGGGGAGATGGGGAGATGCTGCGGGGAGCAGGGAGCTTCTTATAGACTCCTTCATCCCACCAGGCTCTTCCAGCCACGAAGATCAAAGTCTGTGCCCTCCTGGCTCCAGAACGTCAAGTGCTGGTATGTGGAGAAGCAAGCAGCTGGGGTGGGAGGCCGGGGGCCTGTGTCCCCATTGCTCAGCTGGTCAAGGCACTTTGGAAGTGGGGGCGCTCTGGGAACTCAGGTTCTAATAATGGGCTGAGCAGCCCCATGGCTCCCTGCTGTCACACATCATCCAGGAGAGAGAGGGCGCCACACCCCCAGTAAAGCATAGGTGGTCTCACAGAGGCCTGGGACCAGCTAGGGACACTTCACTGGACCAGAAATGTCTTAAAGAGGAAAAGTGCTCTTCCACACGGGATCTTCAGTGCCAACCCAGAGTTCCAAAGTCCGGCAACATTGTTCTAGAAGTGCAGGCAGGATGATAACAGGCAGTGGGCAGGGGTCAGAGGGTCAGTATCTCAGGCGGACGAGAAACAAGAACGGGGCAGCTTAGGATTGGCCCCTGCCCACCTGCTCCTAGGAGTGAGGTCCTGTGGCCCAAGCCCCCTGGGATCCTGGCATTGGCCAGCGGGCAGGGTGGCTTTGGCTCCAGGAAGCCCCTGTGAAGAAGTAGCTAGGGCCAGCCCTTCCACTCCCAGGGGAGATCTGAGAGAGATAAGGAGGAGATGGCAGCTCAGGAGCCACTAGGGGACAGAGCTCGAGCAGCAGAAAATGAGCAGGAGGGGGAGGGCAAGGAGGGCCTGGAGAAGTGCTGTGGAGAGCTGAGAGTGAGGAGGCCACAGCATTCCCCAGATAGCAATCAGGGCGACCTGGCTGTTAATCAGCAGCAGGACCGGGCAGCGCCTCTGGCAGACATTCCAGGCACTGCCAGCTCCGGGGCTGGTCTGTCTCCATATCTGCAGAAGGCAGGCCAAGGACAAGGGTGCTGGGTGCCGGGTGCCGGGACTGGGCACTGGAGACACCTCAGACTCTGCCAGCTGAGTGATGCCTCAGTGTGATGGCAGAGAGAGCGAAGGACACAGACGTGCAGGGCCTTCCCCCACCCCGAGGGGTGGGGTGCAATGTGACAGAGGGGAATGTCACTCAGGCAGTGGAGAACCAAACTCCTCTTTCCCATCATGGGAGCATGCCAGGGCAGAACACCACCACCCACGGGGCGGGGGGCGGGGGGAGGGCAGGACTCCTTTTTTTTTGGCCTGTGGGTGTGTCCCTGCCCAGCCTCCACCCTGTCATGCCTCCCATAAATCCTTTGCTATTTCCTGCTCTCAGACACGGCCAGCCACCAGCCCCTAGCTCCCCGGAGCCGGGCCCCTGGCTTGGTATGGGCGTGAGCCTTCCCCAATCCACAGCTCCAGCCAAGCACAGAAAGTCGGCTGGGACACCTCCCTTGCTGGGCCCCTCAGCCTCGCCCCACCCCTGGGAGCACAGAAACCGCCTGCGGCTCTGCCTTCTACAGCACCTTGGGGGCCAGGGGAGAGCAGGGGGATACTGTCAGCCCACACTGCAACCAGGTCCAGGACAACACTGCAGGGGTGACAGAGGCCTGAGGCAACCCTCTAACCCAGAACAGGCTGAGCTGGGAGGGAACACCGGTACCATGGCAACGTCTTTGCTGGTAGGGATGAGGCTCTCAGCTTATCACATCTCTCCCAGACCAGCATCCTGGATGGACAGGCAGGAGGGACGGCGCTCTCGTCAGCTTCCCTGTGGCCAAGAGTTTGCAACACACAGCTTCCTCCAGGCACCCCCTCAGCCAGCCCCACACTGGGTCCTAGGACCAAATCCTACCAGGTTCCCCTTTCCCATCCAATGCCTCCCATGCAAGACCACACTGTCCCCCTTGCTTATAGCTGCCGGCCCCACCAACACAGTATGCCACAGGCACCTCCCAGCAGTGGAACACTTTTAAAGACAGGAACCAAGTCATGGCCATCTCGCTATCTCCCCTGTTCCAGGCTCCTGACTTCCAACCAACAGGAGGGAAGCAGATTCCTGGGGATCAGACTTCCAGTGAGGTTCGTCCACACCCCATCCCTGAACCAGCAGGGCCCCTCACTTGTGTAAGACACTGCTCCATTCCCAGGCTCCTGTCCCCCTTCCCAGCGGCTGACAGGGGAAAGCCACCACTGAGGCCAAGGGCAGGGAGGGGAACATGGTGACCCACTCAGGGCTTTCATTAGTGCTGGCTCCAGACTAGGACCAACACACGATCACGACACCAGCCCTTTGGGCAGCCCTATAAGGACTCAGCACATTTAAGGGGAGATCTGGAGATCAAACACAGCCGCTCTGGACTTGAAAGCCCCAGTTGACCAATGGAGACAACGGTCCCCCAGGGTAAGCCAGCAGCTGCAGGTGTCACGTCCAGGACCATGGGTTTAAAGTCCATGCTTTAGACGGCTGGAGCCCGGGGCCAGGGTCATACCCCTCCCAGCCCACCCACAGCCAGAAGTACACCTGTAAGGAAGAGGTGTGATGGGGCGGTGGGGAGGGGTGGTGCTCACCTGCTACCTCTACAATCTGGTGCCGGGCGATGTCGTAGTAAGGGTCATCCCACTTGAGGTGTGTGACAGGTTCCGGAGAGCTGCTTTTGGAGTCGTCTGGGGAACATGTCAAAGTCAGGATCAAGGCAGCAAAAGGGATATGCTCCTTCCTTGCCTGTCCCCCCACCTCCCAGCAAGGCCTGTGCCCCAGCCCAAGCCCAACGCCAAGGCTGGTCTACCGCTTTCCATCCTGCTTTCCCGGGTCTCCCCTGCCCGAGATGGCACACTGCCCACCTGACTTGGAGAAGTCGGGCATTTCATCAGAGGGCCAGTTCTGCTCATCGATGGAGGCCAGCTTCAGCTGGTTCAGAGACTGGCTGGTGTCGTCGAGGGTCAGGTCATCCTGCAGCTCTGAGAGTGGATCCATGGTCCAGTCTGTGCTCAACACAGCCTCAGCCCGCAGAAGCTGAAGGAAAACCTGAGAGCAGGTCAGAGTCAGCGACCCCTTGGGGTCACAAAGAGCATCCTGCTCACCATGCCCCACCCTGCTCCATCCCTCTCCCAAGCTCCCTGGTCCCTATCCCTCAACACTTGTCATCCCTGCCAAGAATTTCAAGCAGTGAAGTGCCAGGAAAAACAGCTGGAGCAGAGGACGGCGTGGCTCAGTCTCCCCACTTCAGGCCCTTTAGCTGGGCAGGGAAGAGCTGCTTGGCTGGCCTGGTCGGGAAGGGGTCAGAGGTTCACGCCCTTCTCCTTAAGGGCCCTAGCAGTTATAGGGATCAGCCTGCTGCAACACCACAGTGATCTCCAGGTCCAGCACCCCAAAAAGGTCAGCTGGTGCCCTGGCTAGGCCAGCCTAACCCTCCTCTGTCCTAGGGGTGAGGTAGGGACCAGAAATCATAGATCCCAGAAAAAAATTCTGACCTGGGGGCACTACTGTGTTTGCCATGAGACGACAAGCACCTGCCTGCCAGTCACAGCGGACAATCCACGGGCTCCTGGTACGAGCATCAAGGTGGGGAAAAAATTCCACTGACAGATCAGGCTCTAAGAACACAGGCAGGCAAGGAGGTGCAACACCTGGACGCTGAGACAAGAAGCAAGGCCCAGCACAGAGCAGTACATGTGGAGATCGGGGAGAGAGCAGGGAGGCCGCTCTGAACCAGGTCTCCTGCGTATGGCTGCAGCCACCAGGAGATGGCAGCCCGAAGCTAGGGGGATAGGCGTCTTCTGTCCTCAGCCCCGAGGAAGGCAGGGAAGCAACTCCCTTACCCACCACAGGCTGGTCACATGGGTAGGAAGGGGGCTTAATTCAACCCATTTGGTCCAACCCCGAGGAAGAGGCTGCTCTGTGCCCAGCTGCATTCCTGGAGCCCCCAGAAATGACTAATATGGTCACAGAGAATGAACAGGGCAGAAAAGTAGAACAGACAAGACCCACGGGGTGGGTGAGAGGAAGAGGCTGAGAAGAGCCATCCAAGATTCACAGATTTGGGCTCTAACGCGACGTGACAAGTTCCCACACGCTGCAGGGCCACGGGCTCTCTGTGCCTAGCAACTGCCGCCCCAGTTGCCAGGGTGACCACACTGATTCTCTGGCCAGAGATGCTTCCTGCTCCCCAGCCAAAGCCAAGCAGCTGAAGGCACTCCTCCTCCTTCTCCTCTGCCTCCTCTGGCCCGTCCCCCACCCTGACATCCCCCAGCCTTGCTCACCACTGAATCACAAGCCCCTTCCCAAGCACGCAGAGCAGAGGGACCCTGTCATGTTGGGTGCATACTGTCCAAAGCCAGATACCTGTGCCCCGCACCCCCTCAGGTCCAGCTCCCACAAACTCCACCTCCACCCCCACAGCCCTCAAGCCTCCGCGGGAGCCACCTGCACCTCCTTCCACATATCCAGCAGGATACAAGGGATGGAAAGCAAAGCCCTCCAGCTCTGGGCCTCCTGTCAGTCTCTGTCACTTTGTCACAACCTGTGAGCTGGCAAGTTCCCTCCAGCCCTCTCATCTTCTCCCCAGAGAAGATGTGCACATGGCATGGGGGCCTGAGGCCATGGACAAGGCCAACAGAGCAGGCATAAAGCCCAGCACGCTGCAGCCAACCTGGCTTTCACTCTGGGCTGTGGCTCTTAACTCCAGCTTCCAGCTGTCGCAGTCCCTGGAAAACAGCAGAGACAGTTCAAGGAGCTGGGTTCCCTGCCACCCACTTGGAAAACATTTCCAGCTCCAGGCTTTGGCCTTGACTAGGTACTGGCCAACACAAAAGTTCTGGTAGGTGAGAACTATCGCTCTGTTTCTCAAACAAATTCAAAAACAAGAGTCCAGCTCGATGGCTCAACTGGTTAATCCTCTCCCTTCAAGCACCGGGATCCCATATGGGCACCAGTTTGGGTCCCGGCTGCTCCTCTTCCCATGCAACTCCTTGCTTATGGCCTGGGAAAGGAATAGAGAAAGGCCCGAAGCCTTGGAACTCTGCAGCCACATGGGAAATCTGGAGGAAGCTCCAGGTATCTAGGTTTGGATCAGCTCAGCTTTGGCTTTTGCAACCATATGGTGAACAAACCAGTGGATGGAAGATCTGTCTCTCCTCTCTGTAAATCTGTCTTTCCTATAAAAATGAATAAATCTTAAAAAGAATTTTTTTCTAAAGAAAGGGTTAAGGGAGTCCTGGGATGAGTTATGCAGAGATCTGAATTACAGTTCTGTCTGAGCAAGGAATTACACACACGCTGGTTAAGTCCTTTTTCCATGAGGGTCTACATATCTGTAGAAGAGAAAGCTTGGGGCCAGCACCACAGCACCGCAGCACCGCAATCAGCACAATCCCACACTGGTGCACTGGTTCGAGTACTAGCTGCTTCACTTGTGATCCAGCACCCTGCTGATATGCCAGGTGCTTGGGTCTTTGCGACCCGCATGGGAGCCTCTGCTGCAGTTCTGGGCTCCTGCCCTCAGCCGTTGCAGCCATTTAAGGAACGAGCCAGTGGCAGATAGAAGACCTCCGTCTCTCCCTCTCTGTCATTCAACTTTTCAAAGAAACACATATGTCTTTTTGAAAAGAAGAAAGTAGCTCCTTCCAGAAATGCCCTACTACTGTGTTCAGAAATACTGGAGCGGAAGTGAACAGGATGAGGTATATGTGAGGCAGAGGAGTGCCACCTCAAGGGAGCTACACTCGAGCTCCATTGCTTTTCCAGGACTCCGGCACCCCATTAGGCCTCCAGACTCCCTCCCTAACCCCCTGATAAAACCTTCTTTTCCCAGCCAGGCCTCTCCCCACCCTGCAACCCAAAGTGGTGGCACCCATGCAAAGGAAGGAGGCCTAGGGAAGGTCTCACCCAAAGCCGTGCACCTGTCCCATCCAGGCTGCCCAGACATCCGCCACCAACAGGCCCCGGCCCCTCCCTGGGCCACACAGTTCCTCTCTGAGGCCCCTCCTCTCCTTGCCAGCCTTGGGAGAGTTGTGGGCATCTCTGAAAATGTGATGGCACCTGTGGGCACTTTTTCCCCCCACTAAGGAAAATCTTACATGCTACCGTAACTTTTCTGAGAAGTCCTTTGGAAAAACCCCTATTCAAACCACACAGGCACACAACCTGTGTTCAGCCACATGTTGAATAACTGAAGTCATCCATGGCTTAAAAGGCGACCAACATTTGCTCAACGTCACTGGAACACCATAAACCAAATCCAGAACCCAGAGCGACTTGAAAATCACAACCCACCGCCTCCCTTGGTTGCAGTCCCGAATTGCAAAAACGCAAATTTCACCCATCACAACAGCCAACAGATCCGGCCAGGTTTACAAAATCCTGAAAGGGGCGGGGGTGGGGAGTGGGGAGGGTAACGATCCTATTCCACACACTGAGAAAAGTGTGACCGCTTCAAGAGTGACAGGGTGTCCCCAAGTTTATTGCTCTACAGTGTTCCAGCGGGGAGACTTCCCCTAGCTCGGTGACCACCCTCTGGCCGGGCCTATTGCCCTGGGGAGAGGAGGAAGAAGGCAGCGAAGGGGGCGAGGTCTCCGGACTGCAGGCGCCAAAACGAGATAAGAAAAGCCAGGCCAGCAGATCCAGCTGCACACCAGGAGCCTCCTGTTGGAATCGTCCCCTACTCGGAGCCCATCTCCTCCCGCTCCACCGCCCCCTCCCTGGACACCCCGCGCCCAGCAGCTCACCGCGCTCGGACACAGCTCCCGCGGCCACGCCTGTCACTGCTCGGCAAACATCCGGATGCGCGAGGCAGCCGGCACCGCCCCCTCCTGCTCTCCCCGCGCCCTGCCCCGACCACTTCCGCCACGCCTCCTCCCTGCTTCCGGACGGCTGCCCGGTTCAAACATGGCGTTTCCAGGAGCTTCGCCCACTTCCTGCGCCAACTCGCCTGCAACAGAGACTGCGACCCCGTCCGCCTCATCACGACATAGCTGGGACTATTAGTTCCGGTTTCCTCAGAGACTCGAATCCCGGGGGCTCTCCGGAATTCTAGACTCTGATGGTCCTCCGACAGAGATGTGCCTCAGAAATATTCCTTGTTTCCTAGTCCTGTGCATCAAACAAGTCCGACTCTTGGGATTCTTTTCGAAAGAAAAATTAAGACGGCAATGACTGTTTCCGGGAGGAGCTGAGAAAAGGACGGTCACTTCCGGCAGCGAGAGGCCTCCTGACCCGGGATGGAGGAGTTGCTCGAGGCGGGGAAGGGCCTGCCGCCTGGTGAGCCGTCCGTGCGGTCCGCGACCCTCAGCCCGGGCGCAGAGGGGGCCCAACGGCCTCCGGTCGCTCCCCTTTCCTGGGCCTTTTTCCTCTCAAGCCCAGGGTCCTTTTCCGGAGCCCAAAGAGTCCATAGCGAAGGATTTAATTTAAGAAATGTCTAATGCATTATTTGAAAGAGCGCGTGCTCGTTCGTCTTGCTGGCGCACTCGCCAAGTGCCCGCCAGCGCCAAGCCGAAGCCGGCAGCCAGGAACGAACTCCACGCGGGGCTCCCACGTGGGTGGCAGGGATCCAGCTCCTGGACAAACCACCGCCCGCCCCTGGGGGCTCCTTCTAGAACCCCGAGCCCCCTGCGACCCTCCAGGGTCCCCATGAGGACCACCATGACAGAGCCCCGTCGCCTCCCTCACTGGCTTCTCTCCCTGCAGCCGCTGAGTCGCACCTCAGCCCGACCTCAGAATGGAGCCCGCCGGGAGCTGGTGGGGCCCAGGACAGCCCGCCTGCACCGACTCGAGCCCTCCTGGCCCTGCAGAGCCTCCCCCGGGGCTTAGCCCTGGGTCCCTCGCTGGCAGAGGAGCGGCGCTGGGGTGTGTGGTGCGTTGGGGAGCCGCTGCAGCCTGGACTGGCATGGGGGCCGCTGGAAGAGCAGAGCGTCTGTGAGGGGGAGAAACCGAGGCAGGAGGTACTGTGGCTTGAGGCGTCTCTCCTCGTGGGGAAATTGGGATGAAATGAAGGCATTCCAGGCGGCCAGCTCGGCCGCAGCAGGGAGTTGCAAACAACACTCGGCCTTGTAGCTTCTCTCCAGCACGGCTTCTTCCTTCCCCCACCCACCTCCCCAACAGGTGCACTGGTTAGGAAAGCAAGATGTAAAAAGAAGCCAGGTTAGTGTAATCGCAGCAGTGATGAAGGGCTGGTTTGTATAAACATGCATTTGTTTGAAGAGTAGGGTTACACAGAGAATCTTCCATCTGTTGGTTCACTCCCCAAATGAATACAGTAGCCTGGGCTGAAACCAGAAGCCAACAGCTTCCTCCAGGTCTCCCAGTGAGTAGCAGGGGCAGAAGCCCTTGGGCCATCCTCTGCTGCTCTTCCAGGGAGCTGATTAGAACTAGAGTAGCCAGGGCTCAAACAGGTTCCCATCTGAAATGCCAGTGTAATGGGCGGCAGCTTGGTCCATGGTACCACAATGGTGCCTCCTTCCACCCCCGTCTCTAGGCCCCTTGCCCCTAGTTCAGACTTAGGGTTAACAAGATGGGGTCAGATTGCAGCTTGTCATCTGGCTAGTTAGATTTCATGCCTCCTTTAATGCACCTGTAAGGATTTATTATTTTTATTGGAAGGGCAGATTTACAGAGAAAGATCTTGCATGTGCTGATTCACTGCCCAAAATGGCTGATCCGCCAGAACTGAGTCAAACTGAAGCCAGGAGCCTCTTCCAGGTCTCCCACAAAGGTGCAGGGTCCCAAAGCTTTGGGCCATCCTTGACTGCTTTCCCAGGCTGCAAGCAGGGAGCTGGATGGGAAGTGGAGCAGCTAGCACATGAACCAGCATCCATATGGGATGCCAGCACTTACAAGGCGAGGATTTTAGCTACTGGGCCCAAAATGCAGGATTTTGCTGTGTAATCAATGCAATTTTTTTAAACAAAGTTGATGTTCCTCTTTTTCTGTGCTCACTGGAAGACAACAACATGAGCTTCTAGGACTTTCACATTAGATTTGCTCAGCGTGGGGGTGGGGAGAGCACAGATGGTTCATCATAATTTGTGCTAATTCTCTACCCTGCTGCCTGACTCCTGGCTCCCTTCAACACACAGATAAGAGGGACTGCACTTGGTTCTTTTCAGGATCTGTCGCCAGCCCGGTGGGGAGATGTGCATGCTTGTGAGCGCAGCGCAGGCTGGACCAGGTGGGTTCCAGAAGAGTGCAAGGCAGGAAGGGTGCCCGACCCCGCCCCACAAGTCTTCCTTCAGGACACAGGGTGCCCCTGGGAGGCTGGGCCGGCACCCACAGCGTCTGCTGAGCCAGCTCTTGTTCTGCTTTGCAGCTGGGTGAGACGGGGCAGGCTGGAGAGCGAGGGAAACGTGGCCCCTGTGCGCATCCAGGAGCAACTGCACCTGCAGGTTCAGCAGGTCGTGCCACCGGGCTTCGAGCTGCTGCTGTGGCCCCAGCCGCCCTCTCGGGACCCGCAGCCCACTCCACCCTGGCTAGGAGAAGCAGCAGCCGCCGCCGTGGTGGCGGCCACTGGGGCAGACGCTGCTGAACAGGAAGTGGTCTCCCCCAAGGAGGATGCGGCCGGACTGTGCGCAGGTATGTGGCAAAGACAGGGCCACCAAGAGCAGATGAAGCAGAGGTCGTTGCTCAAAGTCGGCGTGTGTCGGAGTGGGATGGGGGTGAAGGACTCTGGGAGGACCCTAACTTGATGGTTTAGGGCTACTGGGTACAGCATGGCTGGAGTGTCCAAGGATTCAGAGTATCTTGAGCTACCCACTAGGATGTGCATGTTGGGGAAGAGGCCTGGATCTCATCCTTGAAGTAAACAATGAGAAGTGTAACTTTGACTTTCCCAAGAGTTGCTGGGCACAGTAAGGTGAGGAGGTTTCCAGCTTCTCTCATCCAAGGGGCCTCTTTGTTTTACTCAGGAGCTAAGAGGAGGAGATGGCAGGGAATCCTGTGTCCCCAGGCTAAGAACCAGGGACCCGCGCCTGGAAGGGACTCAGCTTTTGGGGAGGGGCCCCTGCATGGCTGGTAGGACCATGCCCCCCTGGTGAGGGGAGCCCCTGAAACTGGACAGAGAAACCATTAGGAGCCAGGGCTCCCCCGAGGTTGGGGGTCCCCAGTGGAGACAACACCTCTGCCTCTGATTTTCCCCAACCCTCGGGGCTGGGATACTTGTGTGAACCCCACACCTGGCTTCCGCCCTGCAGAATCCAGCCCTGCATCACCTCCCGGCGGCCTTCAGGCCCCAGCCCAGGAGCAGCTCTCCCAAGATGGCCAGCCCCCTGGCCCTGCGCTTCAAGGTGGTGCCCCCGGGGAGGTGCATAGTCTGCAGGCACAGGTGCTGCCCGAACCTCAGGGCTCCTCAACTCCCACGGAAGGCAGCTTCCTGGCAGCCCCCGTGGATGTCCGGGCCAGCGATGCCCACAGCACCGAGAATTTGCATAGCCCTGGTGAACAGAACCCGCCTGGCACGAAGATCTCGGAGCCTGGGGCCCAGGACACCGGCCACGCTGCAAGCTCCCCGCAGAAGGGGCGACGGTACCGCTGTGCAGAGTGCGGCAAGGCCTTCCTGCAACTGTGCCACCTGAAGAAGCATGCCTTTGTGCACACGGGCTACAAGCCCTTCCTGTGCACCGAGTGTGGCAAGAGCTACAGCTCCGAGGAGAGTTTCAAGGCTCACACACTGGGCCACCGCGGCGTGCGGCCCTTCCCGTGCCCGCAGTGTGACAAGGCCTATGGCACCCGGCGAGACCTCAAGGAGCACCAGGTGGTACACTCTGGCGCACGGCCCTTCGCCTGTGACCAGTGTGGCAAGGCTTTCGCCCGCCGGCCCTCCCTACGGCTACATCGCAAGACCCACCAAATGCCGGCTGCCCCCACCCCGTGTCCGTGCCCCGTGTGCGGGCGACCCCTGGCCAACCAGGGCTCCCTGCGGAACCACATGCGGCTGCACACAGGGGAGAAGCCCTTCCTGTGCCCGCACTGCGGCCGGGCCTTCCGCCAGCGCGGCAACCTGCGCGGGCACCTGCGTGTGCACACCGGCGAGCGGCCGCACCGCTGCCCACACTGCACCGACGCCTTCTCCCAGCTGCCGGAACTGAGGCGCCATCTCATCTCGCACACAGGCGAGGCACACCTATGCCCCGTGTGCGGGAAGGCCCTCCGAGACCCGCACACCCTGCGCGCTCACGAGCGCCTGCACTCGGGCGAGAGGCCCTTCCGGTGTCCACAGTGCGGCCGCGCCTACACGCTGGCCACCAAGCTGCGGCGCCACCTGAAGTCGCACCTGGCGGACAAGCCCTACCGCTGCACCACCTGTGGCATGGGCTACACCCTCCCGCAGAGCCTCAAGCGCCACCTGCTCAGTCACCGGTCCGCACCCCCTGCTGCGGCTGCTACTGTGGTGCTCCTGCAGACCGAGCCCCAACTGCTGGGCGCCAGCAGCGAGGCAGCTGTCTCTCCAGCCGGGGCCATCGTGGAGGTCACCGACTCAGAGAGCCCGAAGTGCGCAGCCGGGACCGAGGAGCCGGACCCCGCCGCTGGCCTGGTGCTCCTGCCCAGCGACTTGGGCTTGGGGGCCTGGGCGGAAGTGGTGGAGGTGGAGACGGGCACCTGATGTCATCACTGTGTCCCCACCCGCCTTGACACTCGCTATAAAGATGTATTTTTCAACTGCTGTGACTATGCCTGCTCTGTATTGACCTTAACCTTGCCTGCTTAGGGCTGGACCTTCCCCACCGCTCCGCCCGCCCCCCCCCCCCCCCCCCCCCCGCCCCGCCATGAGAACCAGGCGGCCCTCTGGGTTGGAGAGCTTGTT